GAACAGAAAAAAAAAACCAAAGTGAAACTGCAGCGTGTTTGTCTCAGAGAGAACTGTGGGTGTGAGAGGACAGAAAATAAAACTATGAGTCTGTTCCGTGCAGGGAAGGTGCAGCATGTGTGTTACAGCCTGTAGAGCGTGTGTGTTGTTTATAAATGTGATATCTCCAGAGGACAAACTGTGTGTTTGAATGTTATTGATTTGTCTCCCAGCAGAAGGAGCATCGCCACAAACGCTGAGTCAGTGGACAGAAAGAAAAAGAAATGTGAAGCAAAAGACGAGAAACAAGAACAAACATTTATTTTGTGCTGTCGTTTTCACCGGGTCCTTTTAAAACGACAGATGTTTACAGCACAAATCCAAAATGCTGTGCATCTCATGCAAAATGATTCACCTGTGCTGCTTCGTTTTAATCCTGTTAACGTTTCACGGCGGTTAATCCCGGCTGCTCGATATCTAGGTCACAAACTGTATGTGAGCAGTGAAATATTGTGTGTGTGTGAAGTCAAGTATTTAAACAGAGCACTGATCTAGATTAGAATGTCCTCTGTTAGAGTCGATGAAAAATAATAACGGTTCATTTATGTGGCGCTCGTTCACACCTTCATACACTCGCATATAATCTCCTCGTCTGAATCCTGGATGTTCACGCTTCACACTGGAGCAGATGTTTCCTGTCGCAGTGTGTGGAAGAAATACATGTTTCTCTTGGAATAGGAGCAACAGATGTAACGAACAGAGCAGGAAGCTAAAAGAAAGGTGTGCGGACAGATAACGCACTGAATCATGGGGCCGTGCAGAAAGAGACTGTCGATGAAAAGGGGGCGGTGAGCGTTTGGAGGCTGACCTGAGGAGAGGTGTTAGCGTTAACATGGTAACTGTCATGCTAATCATCTATAATTCACCTAAGTTTCTTGCATTGTGATAAAATATATGAAGGGGGTGTGGCCAAATAAGATCAAAGTAGATCAAACAGCAAAGATGGCGGCACTGGTATCCACGTTTTTTCAGTTTTTTTCATCTTAATATCATCATTAAAGTTTTACTCAGAGGTTTAAAATATCAGAGGTTTGCACTCTATTTAGTTTGTATGAGTTTTAAACACTTTTTCAAATTCAATTCCTTTCACCTCCGCTGTGTTGGAGAGAAAGAAGAAATCAGGTTCCACTAAAAAAAGGAGAGAAGCTTATGTTTTCAACGTACTTAGATGTACAATGTACTTACGCATATATTAAAACTTCAGGCCAGTTTAGATTTCACAAGTGTCTCAAAGAAGAAAAGCTGATTTCGGATCAGTTCACACCCTCGTCTCTCCCTGTGCAGCGACTATCTGAGTCTCTTGTGACGTTAAAGTCTGACGTCGTTCTTATCAGTCTGAGAAGTGTCGTGTGCTGATCAAAGTCCGGACTCATTTTTATTTAAATCTCTGTCGCTCGGAGATATTCTCACTTCCCTTAGGAGTCAGAGGGATAAAGATTAAGTCGTGGGTTCGGCTGGAGAACAATCTGTGCTTCTGCGTTTGAGATGAACAGTTGGTGAACAGGCAGAGAGCAGGTGCTGACCTAGAGCTTCAGGTCCAATGTGCACTCGATCATCAGAAAAAAGACGTTTCACAAAATGCCATCTAAGGTCACATTCAGTCTCCCCCCCCTCCACATAAGCCCTTCACTCCTCCACCTCCTCCGCCGCCTCCTTTTCTTTCCTGAGGTCTCTGTCTTTTTTTATGAAGCTTTTTATATCTCTTCTTTGCTTCTTCAACATCTTGATCCGTCCTTTTTTAGCATCTGGCACACCCACCACATGTGCGTATTCACCTCCTGCACCTCAGGTCTCTGTCTGTGTGGATTCCTCTCACTGAACCAAGCTGTCTTTCTAACATTGGTGAGTATAGATGTGATGAAATACATTTAACACCCGTTAGACGCACATATGTATGAAAGTCACGAGGTCGATATAAGCAAATAAAAACATCAAGTCACTCAGTTGAACTTTATGAAATACCATCATGGTTGACTATCAGAGTTTCATGCAAAGTGCTCTACAGCTGGGGGATTTCTAAGTGGATGACAGTCTGTGATATGTTGTTTTATGTCGATTTAACTCAGCGATATAATGTTCTTCATAACTTTCATTCAACGTTTACAAACCAAACAGGACTTTCAAGGTATTTTTGTCCGCTGCAATGACAATAAAGGCTTTGTATTCTATTCTATTCTGTTCTGTTCTGTTCTTGAGTTCTTTAGAACAAATCACTTTCCTCAGTAATTCTCAGTCAAACAAAACTTCCTCGTTTGGTTTGTCCTCTCAGCAGCAGTTCCCTTTTTTCCCGAACTGAATTGTTTTGTTTCATGTAAGTTTGCTCGTAAAAACTAAGGCCTGTGATTATGTGACACACACACTGTCCTTGTGATTTCACTGTGAGTGTGTGCTGAGCTGTCTGTTATCAAGTGTCTGTTATCAAGTGTATAGTCTTTAGTCTTTGTTTGCTTCAATCTAACTTTCTGTGCTTTAAACAACCGGAGAGATTCAACAATCTGCATGAAACTGTTACAGTAAGGACGATAAGACGGGTTTTCATGGCTAATTTTTTTGAAGCTAACAGATAAAAGCGCTTTGTTGAGATCGGAGCAGGAAACAAAATAAGTGATAAGTGATTTGGGAGGATGAGGAGATCCAACCAGTTTGTAACACTCATCTCTGAGTGTTTGTGAAAACACGTGATGTCAGTGGTGTTTTATCAGAAGCTGACGGATCAACTTACTCCTCCTGTTACGGGTGTTGTCCGGTGAATAAATCGTGGTTAAACTGGTAAATCTGTGTGTGCGTGTGTGCGTGCACGTGTGTCACACTGAAACAGTAATAGTGTTTCAGATACAGGAAGTGGTAGAGCTATCTGGTGAAGTTGGTTTCCTGTTGTGGTTTCTCACTTCTGCTCCTTCTGTCAAACAAGTTCAGCGACGACTCACCAGATGGATTTTCTCACCAATGCCGATAACGATTAAACAATTTAGGAACATTTAAACTAATCAAATA